ATTTATGTGGATTATAACTGACACACATTTATGTGGATGATAACTGACACACATTTATGTGGATTATAACTGACACACATTTATGTGGATTATAACTGACACACATTTATGTGGATTATAACTGACACACATTTATGTGGATTATAACTGACACACATTTATGTGGATTATAACTGACACACATTTATGTGGATTATAACTGATAAACATTTATGTGGATTATAACTGACACACATTTATGTGGATTATAACTGACACACATTTCTGTGGATCATAACTGACACACATTTACGTGGATTATAACTGACACGCATTTATGTGGATTATAACTGATAAACGTTTATGTGGATTATAACTGATAAATATTTTTGTGGATTATAACTGATAAACATTTTTGTGGATTATAACTGATAAACATTTATGTGGATTATAACTGATAAACATTTTTGTGGATTATAACTGATAAACATTTATGCAGATATTCCTTCTGTAGCTTTGCAGAAATACTTGAAACAAATTGTTAAATGAAGAATATTTAATCAAAAATTAGTTTTCTATAGAATAGTGTTTAGGATTTCATTTTAAAAGGCCATTCTAGTCAACTTTAAAAAATGTACGTGTCCAAAACTCTGACTTTAGCTTAACAAATGTTTTCACACAATACAAAATCGGAAGTTAATTACCTTTAGATTGGAATCTTGTAAATAATTTCTTTATTGAAAATATTTGCATGGCATAATTACTTCAAAGTTAATACTGAATTGAAGTACAAATTTTTCCTGTCTTGATTTTATTTATGACTTATTTTCAGTATTATAAGTAATTATACGAAAACATGAAAATAATATCTCCTCCCAGCTTATTATTCAACTTCTTTGTTGGTCAACAGTTTTCTATAGTCTGTTTTACAAACAAATTTGAGGAAGGATGAAATGCTGATCTTTGGTCCAGTTAGTTTTTTCATGTGCATTACAGAGGTGAAGACTTGTTAACCTGACAGAATGCATGATGTGTTCCAGTACTTACTTGAATGTCCAAATATGCCATAGTGTAATTTCCATAATTAGGTTTTATATCCTCGTCGTGATGACAAGTTGGAACCATACTTGTTATCAGAATCGTAGATATGATAATATAGTATCTAACACTCTTGTGACTTATCTTTCATTTGTTCCGTAGCAAAACAGCATAACTGATCCTGCCACAGTGATCTTTGAGATGAGTAAAGATGAACGGAAAGATTTCTACCGGACTATCGCCAAGGGCTTGAACCGTCCATTATTTTCGGTGTACAGACGTGTCCTCCGAATGTATGACTTGAAAAATCATGTTGGAAAATACACTCCAGAGGAGTTGGAGCAACTGAAGCAGTAAGTACATGTGAAACATTGAATAATCACACACACTAGGGAGTTGGAGCAGTACATGGAACATTTAATTGTGATAGTTATTTATCTTTAGATGAGAAAATGGTATCAGGCCATCAAGATGTTAAGGTTGTGGTAATTATTTAAAATATTTGATGAGGAATTGGCATCAGGCCATCAAGATGTTGAGATTGTGGTAATTATTTGAAATATTTGATGAGGAATTGGCATCAGGTCATCAAGATGTTAAGGTTGTGGTAATTATTTGAAATATTTGATGAGGAATTGGCATCAGGCCATCAAGATGTTAAGGTTGTGGTAATTATTTAAAATATTTGATGAGGAATTGGCATCAGGCCATCAAGATGTTGAGGTTGTGGTAATTATTTAAAATATTTGATGAGGAATTGGCATCGGGCCCATCAAGATGTCGAGGTTGTGATAGTTAAACTGTAAATAATATTAAGGGTTAAAAAATGGTTTAAAAATCTTATCCACACTGACCAAATGAAGTGTATTATGTTAATTTTTTTTCTTGTTTTGTTGAATTTTTCATCATTACTGTGAAGCTTATAACATTTCTTTTGATTACTTAACATAGTATGTTGTTACTTTACAAAAGCTTCAACATTTTCCACCTGTTTTAGATGACAAACTTGTAACTTCCCCAGATGTTATGCGTAAGTTTTTGTGAGGAATTATTATTCCATGACAAACATTTATGTTAATATTATTAGTAAGAATTGCATTTTCTTTTCATACTTTGGTTCTGTAAGTTGTATTTTGTAATTGCACTGTAAATTTAAGTTTACATGAACTACAATACATCAATAGTAAAGATTATAAAAAGTATGCCTTATTTACAGATTACGAAAAGTTCATGGCAACGACTGGCAAACTATTGGGGTATTAATGGGACGTAGCGCTTCATCTATTAAGGATCGGTGTCGTCTAATGAAGGACAACTGCAATCAAGGTAATAACAATATCTTTCTGTTATATAACTTAAAAGCATTAGAATATATCACACTTTAGAAATATAACCTTGTTTTGAAGAATACATCCTTTAATTAAAACTGATATCACTAATAGAAGATCTGTTGAGAAGAATTTAGAGAACCTTGACTTACTCAAACCTGTTGGTAACTAGATGTCAGTGAGTACTTTATGGTGTCCATCAGACCTGTTGGTAACTAGATGTCAGTGAGTA